TGTGTGTGTGTGTGTGTGTGTGTGTGTGTGTGTGTGTGTGTGTGTGTGTGTTGCTGGGGATTTTTTTCACCTCTATATCTCATAAGTTACTCATTTACCTGCCTCCCAGAAGAGAAGTGGAAAGAGAAAGAAACACTGGCAATGTAAGCCAGCTGGGAAAGTCCCCTGTAGTATTATAGTATCCTTTTATTCCCCCTTGGATCTCAAATATACAGAATTGGATAAGCCATACTCCTTGACTTGCCACACATTGTCATCATTGGTAAATTCAGTTCCTCTTTTATTTGTTTACTTAATATAATGAATAGCCATAGACAAACACCTGTGAACAAACACCTACCAAATTTAAGAGTGAGAATGTCACAACTGACATACCTGCATATGCTCCCCCCATCTTGACCTCTTACCTTTCTCTCCAGAAGTGCCAAATACAGTGAATTTAATTAATCATTACTTTCCTTTTATTTATATATTCACACACACCCCATGCCTAAATGATAGTTTTAAAAGTTATGTTTATTTTTCAAAAAAGTATATCTGTGAGTATTATTCAACTTGTTCATTTTACTCTACATGCTATTACTATACTATTTATGACTATTCTAGTAGGATGAAAAAGGAATAAAGTTTTGGAAGCCCTTCAAGTCTCCTTATTGCCTTTGGACTTTATTCCACTTTATTCTCCTTAGCTTTTCGTTCAAGGCTGTCAATGCCTAGGCTGACCTTAAACTTAATTCCTTCCATTATCCTCCTTTCTAGTCAAACTATAGTAGTTGTTCTTTTTTTTTATTGGTTCTTTTTATATACATGAAAGTAGAACCCATTTTGATATAATTATACAAGCATGGAATATATCTATTGTAATTAGGACCCCATTCTTGTACATGATGGTGAGATTCAGTCTGGTGTAATCCTATATATACATAGGAAAGTTAGGTCAGATTCATTCCACTGTCTTTCTTTTTCCTATACCTCCTCCCTTCCCTTCATTCTCATTTGTCTATTCTACTGAAGTTCTGTTCTCCCCCTACCCCCATTGTAGGTTAGCTTTTATTTGTTTTTTTTTTTTTTGGAGGGGGGATTGGCTTATTTCACTTAGCGTGACAGTCTCAAGATCCATAAACTTACTAGAAAATGTCATAAATTTATTATTCTTAATGGTTGAGTAAAATTCCATTGTGTATATATACCACAGTTTCTTTATCCATTCTTCTGTTAAAAGGCACATATGTTGACTCCATAGCTTAGCTATTGTGAATTGTGCTGCTATAAATATTGATGTGGATGTGTAACTGTAGAATCCTAATCTTAAATCCTTTGGATATAAGCCCACATACTTCCCTGCTTCTAAGTTTTTGGTTCAAAAGTTCCTTCCATATTCACATATATTTACATAAGGAAATGGTACCATTCTTTAGGGTTCAGTCCATGAAGCTGACTTTGATTTTCCACCCCAGTCTTAATTCCTATAATGTCTTGTATCTCTCTTAGAGAAACAACTCTTTCCCAATATTGTAGATATCCATCAGATGCATTTCCCCCTAAATACTAACTTATAAACTGCTTGAGGATATCTTTTAACATTCCATGCCCTACATAGCTGTGCTCACAGTAGCCACTTAATAATAACAGAATAAATACATGAATATGATTGAAGAAATGCACTTACCACCAATAACTAGAAAAAGAACAATCTTCTTTTATCTCTGATTTGGTTTCTAATAGAATCAGACCTTACTATCTGTGGGGCATGGTTCTAGAACCTCTAGATACTAAATTCTTAATGATGCTCAAATTCCTAATAAAAAAATGGCATAATATTTGCATATAATTTATGCACATCTTCTTGTTTGCTTTAAGTCATCTTTAGATTACTTATAATATTTAATGCAATGTAAATGCTATCTAAATATGTTATTATACTGTTTATCATCACCAAACAAAAGTCTGTACATAGTCAGTAAAGATGTAGTTTGTTTTCAAAAATTTTTCCTTCCTTTCTTTTTTGGTAATAGTGGGACTTGAACCTAGGGACTCACACATCCTAGGTGAGCACTCTGCCACTGAGCTACATCCCCAGCCTTTGTTACTTAGAAACGTGTCAGCTAGTTGTTGAGGATGGTCTTGAACTCCTCTTGCCTCAGTCTCCCTAGCTGCTAGGATTATGAATATCTACCATCATGCTAGGCTTTCTTCAAATATTTTTTTAAAACTTTTTTTTGTTGTAGGTGGATACAATACCTTTTTAATTTTTATTTAATTTATTTTTTATATAGTGCTGAGGATCAAAACCAGTGCTTTATGCATGCTAGGCAAGCACTCCATCACTGAGCCACAACCCCAGCCCCTTTCTTCAAATATTTTTGATCTGCAGTTGGTTGAATCTATGGTTGTTTGAATCTGCAGTTGCAGAACTCTTGGGTATGAAAGACTGACTGTATAACTTAGAGAAGAGCCTGGATTTCCCTTTCCCTTTTATTCTCCTCCTTTACTCCCCAGTCTCTTATTGTGTAAAGGAGAATAAATCCCTGATTGTAGTACAGAATTAAGGAATATTAAAAACTTTGCTTTTGATTTGCTATTTCAGTTACACATTTTTAGAAGAAAATTACAGGAGTTGGGTTAAATTTTATATTTAAGTTTTAGAAAGTCTAATTGTGTCTAATAGATGATTTTATAATGATTGCTAGTACATTTCTTGTCTCTTACACAATCAACCCTGAATTTTTCTTAGGTCTGAATATTTATTAAATATTTATTAGAATTAAATTAATCTTGGAGAGGTTTAGACAACAGTAATCTCACCTACAGTTGTCAATTTCTTTAAATGTTTCCTCTGAGAGTTGAGAAAACTAGTCACATAATTTCTCAAAACCTTTGTAGTTTGCAGGACACCAAACACCCTGTTTAATTCAGACAAGTCTAATCTCATTAAGGACTAAGTCCTTAATATATTTAAGGACTTTGAAATGAATGGATGAAAAGTCAGGTATTGGAGAATTCTCTTTTTTTAAATTCTGGTTCTGGATCTATTAGAACGTCTTACAAACACTTTCTAAACAGGATTGTCATGGCTTTCTTTGCTAATTAATTAATGAATTTCACAGATACTATGATTGCTCCATTAAAACCTCTGCACCATTTAGAAAAAAACCTCTATAATTTCAAAGGGAACAATAATTTGCTAGGCACATTGGCGCATGACTGTAATCCTAGCAGTTCGGGAGGTTGAGGCAGGAGGGCCACAAGTTCAAAGCCAGCCACAGCAAATTAGCAAGACTCTGTCTCAAAATAAGAAATAAGGGGCTTTGGATGTGACTTAGTGTTTAAGTATCCCTGGGTTCAATCCCTGGCACAAAAAAGGAAGAAAAATCATATTCATTCTGAGGAATGGAATTATTGTAGGAAGAACTTTATAGAATAAGTTTAGTATCCTGCAGTCTTTTCTGAAAAGCTCATAAATTAAAACTCAATTTCCAGTCTTTGTAAAAGTAATTGAAAGCTGTTGAGGGATAAGGAGAGTGAGGAATGGGGAATTAGGAAAAGAAAGGATAGGAGAAAAGGAAGAAAAGGGAGAGGAGGGAAGGAAAGAAATGTGAAAGGTGAGAAAAGAGAATGAAGGATGTGGGAGGAAATGAGTGATTATGGGGGAGAAAAGTAAGGGAACCAAAAAAGAATTGGGGAAGAAGGGAGGAAGAAAAGGAAATGGAGAGAAGTGTCTAGTGTTCAACATTAACCTGAATATCTGGTTTACTTTACTTCTAATGTAAATAAAAATACCCTTGAATGAAGTGAATGTGAATAAGAATAGTGAAAGGTTAGCAATCAGAAGTGATGGGCCCCAATTGAGGTCTTGTTCCAAAGAAGAAACCACACTAAGAGATTAACCCTTAGAAATATTAATGGCACCATCAAGGCCTATTTCAAATGTAAAAGACCTTGAGGCTCTACCCTTGGGAACTCCTCTGGCCAGCTCCTTTGTCCCAGAAGGCTGAGGGGGGGGGGATGAGGGGGTGATAGGTGGAGGTAAACCCAGTGGGAGTTATAGGAAGGATTAAAACTCAGGCTAAAGGATACAGCTGATACTTTTTCAATGCCTGTTTAACATAGATTTTTGGTCCATGCTCTACCCAGAATCATATATAAACACCTAAGTTGGCACACCAACAGGGGATTTTCTGCTACCTGGCCCCCTCCCACGTGGCAGGAGTTCTATCTCTTCTCCTGTAAATAAATCCTGTACCATTTACTCATCCCTTCTGCTATAGTCTGTGTATTTTACTCTTCAAATTTGTGAGATTAAAAAACCCAGAAAGAAATTGGTGACATGGGGAATTTAGTCTCATCTCAAAACTCCAGTTTCAAATGCACCCTTAATTTTCTGTTTGCATGTTTCATCATTAACTTGGTAAATAAAACATCTGGTAACAAAAAGCTTCTTGTATTTTTAGTATGAACACTTAAATGCCAAGTCCTCAGTGATGTTTGATGTTAGCATAATATATATAACCTCAAGGAAACAAAATAAAATACACTCATAGATCATGAATTTTGCTCATTTATATGACAAGAGAGTATGTGGATCTTTCTTCATCTATCAAGCCCAAGAGGGATTCCTCTGGTGAAACTCATTTCTTTCATTTTTTAAATCTTTATTTGTTCTTTTTAGATATGCATGACAGTAGAGTGTATTTTAACATATTATACATACATGGAGCATAACTTATTCAATTAGTAACAAAGTTCTGCATGGCTTCCAAAATCAGACTGACATTTATTCAACAAATCTTTATTGAGTGTCTGCCAAGTTGCAGACACTGAGCTCAGTGTAAGGGATATAGAAATAATGTGCCCTTAACCCAGTTTTGGTCCTTGAGGTGCTCCTAGTAGTTATTTTCATTTTTTATTGATAATGTGCTGAAAACAATCCACTGGTCATTTTACACATTCTGTGTGACTCCTGCCTGTATAATTCCAGAGCTGAAATCCCATCAAACAGCTAAGAAAAATGATCCGTGGAACAATTCAGAAAAGAAAGTCAAAACTATCAGTTGAAACAGCTTTCAAGAGTTAACACATTCTGTTTGTATGTATCTGCCCAGAGAGGAAGAAAAAACTAAGGGAGGTTGGAACTGTTAGAGTATCCAGTTTCATATCAGCCTATGAAAAAGCAATTTCAGCAGCAAGTGCTCCTTCAATGGCTGGAGCCATTAAGTAATAAGCTTGCACAAGTGGGAGTTGCTGTATCTTCTCCTACAGATGGTGCCTATTTGTCACACCTGCCGATAAATAAAATAATGTCGCTCACTTCACTATGAATAGCATCATTATATTTCCAAATCTCTCTTACCTTTCCTGGCTCACAATACGATTGGGGCTGGCCATTTAGGTATCCCTTCTGAAGCTTGCACCAACAGGCAACTTGTTCAGGAACATCTCTGGAGTATCTGGAAAATAGAATGAAAAAAAAAAAAACCCTTGTTTTGCCAAAGAAACAGGACTATGTTCATGCAAAGCATGCTTTCTCTTTCATCTTCCTCAAGAGTCAGCCCTTTTCAGAAAAAAAAAAAAAACAGAAAAGCACCTTCTATTAGTTACTTAAAATGCCAGTTACCACTTACAGCTTCAGAGTGCAGTTTTAGATGCCTGTTTCTCATAAGCTCCAAAGAGCAAAGAGAAATCTGGATGTATATGTGCCGACTGGAACACTTGAATGGAAGCAGCCTGGATTAGTTAAGTCCCCAGTTCCTCCTTTGCAGGCAACAGTTTACAGTATGCAGGAAAGGTAGCGATCCAGCTCCTCTCTGCCTTAGCGGTGTAGAGCCCCAGAGAGAGGGAGGAGATAAGACAGAAGCCAGAAAGCAAAGTTTGTGTAAGCCTTCCACTTTAACCCCTTCAAGGCTTCTTCATGAATCTGTAAGATCAGCTAAGGCACTCTTTCTTCATAAAAACTGCTTTATATGTCATTGAAAAGGCTCAAATCTCTTGCTCAATCTATAAGATTTTTCATTTTAGGTCTTACAGCATTATATGTTTACAATTGAAGCCAAACATGCCAGCATGTGATGATATTTAAATAAGTTCAACTTTCTAAACATAATGTATGCCTTTGTTTGTGTTTCTAGCTTTGGAAAACTTTTTTTAGGCACCAAGGTAATACACTTAATTTTTTAAAAAAATGCTAATCTCTTTTAGTTGTACACAATACCTTTGTTTTTATTTATTTATTTATTATGATATGCTAAGGATCAAACCCAGAGCCTCACATGCACTAGGCAAGTGCTCTACCACTGAGCCACAACCCCAGCCCTTAATACACTTAATTTGAATGTTTTGTAGAAATTTAACCTCAGCCCGGATTTCTGGTTGAGGGTAGAACTTATAAGAACATATAAGTTTTGAAGAAAACTTATATGTTCAATTAGAAATGATGTGTCCATCTGTAGTTTAAATGCCCTTACCATCGTTTACATACTAAGAAGGAGATTAACATTTCTTGAGTGCCTACTCAGTATAAAGCATTTAGCACAAAGAACATCATTTAATGCTCACAGTAATGTTGTGTCTTGGGTATTATGACCCTCATTTTATAAATGGGGAACTGAGGTTTAGGGAGAAAGCCTGTCATGAAGTTTACTAAGCCTAGAGACAGGATTTGAAAACAAGGCACAATGATCCCAAGGTCTGTGTTCTGTTCTCTATAGCAGTGCTTTTTATTTACTTATTTATTTTTTTAAAACTCTTTTTAAAATATTTTATTTTTTAGATGTAGATGGGCACAACACAATGCCTTTATTTTTATGTGGTGCTGAGGATCGAACCCGGGTCCTGGCCATGCTAGGTGAGTGTTCTACTGCTGAGCCACAATCCCAGCCTTATAGCAGTGCTTTTTAAAAAAATTTTTTTTAAATTGTCAGTGGACCTTTACTTTATTAATTTATTTACATGCAGTGCTGAGAATCGATCCCAGTGCCTCACATATGCTAGGTAAAGGCTCTACCACAGAGCTACAATCCAAGCGCCCATACATCACTGATTTTTAACCTCTATGCATCTTAGACTTCTTTGAGAGCCAAATGACAGCTAAGGACTGCCTCTCCCTCAATTCTGTGCTCCATGGCCTCCAAGTTACAAACAGCTAAATGTCCCCATGTCACTTCTCCTGTATCATTCAATCATTAGAGGATCATTCATCCAACAATACCTGGTCCTCAACAATTTTTAATACAATAACTATAGTAGGAATGGTATTAGTGAGTGTCTTGCCAATCTTTAAGAATTAAGCAGTGGGCTGGGGTTGTAGCTCATTGGTAGAGCACTTGCCTGGCACTTGTGAGACACTGGATTTGATCCTCAGCACCACATATATTAATTTAAAATATATTAATTAAAAAATAAAGGTATTGTGCCCATCTACAACTAAAAAGTTTTTAAAGGATTAATGCAGTGATTATCCCTTTGTTTCTACATTCTTAATAACTCTTGCAGTTTTGTCTCTTGTATTTCCCTCATTCCAGTGGTTACATGGGTTGAGGTGCTCCTTGAAATCTGTAATGCCTTATTAGTATCATCTGTTATCTGTTTCTCAAGTTGGAGGAGTATTGTCAAGATTCATGAATGTAAAGTATAAACCCACTATATTTTCCTTGAGGAATGATTTTACTTGAATATTGTGATAGGGAGAATATGGGTCATTTAAGGGATAATTTCAAACATACTTTATATGACAATAAACATAGATGAATTGAATGTAAATTTGCATGCATTTTTATGATTAAGCATGAAAGTTCAGAGAGATTTTGCACTTGTGGTGAGGTCTTTTGGGGCTACTCAGACTTTCCCAAGGATACATATTCACTCTCCTCTGCCATTTGGAGTATTTTGGTGGAAACTTTCCAAGATCATGGAGTAGCAGAAAGATCAGGGACTTTGAAGTTATATAGCCTCAGATTTAATCTATATTTTCTGAATTATCTTTAGAAAATCAGTTGATTTCTTTGTGACTCAGTTTGTTCATTCATAAAATAGGAAATTATAAAGGGAAGTTTATATGAGAAAATATGTCTAAAGCACATATTATGGATGCTTAGTAAATATTGTCTCAAGTTGGTACATGCCAAAAGAGGATGAGCTGAACATGAATCTAACTGGAGGTTTCATCAGGGGTAGTTTTCTTACCTAATTAGAAAAAAGATAAGAGTTATGTTAATAATATTTAAATTCAAGTTTCCAGGAAAGCATAATGGATGCTCTATAATAGATAAGAAATTCCAAAACTAGGTTATCATATACCAAATTTACAAGGGAAATGATCCAGAACAGTTTCCAAGAAATAAAAAAAATATATCATGGAGGGGTGTCAGAAGAGAAATTTGTAAAAACCTTTCTTTGCAGAGAGATGGTGCCAGGCTAAGACTCCACTCTACCTTTCAAAGGAGCAATGGGTTTGGGGGACAGTACCTCCTTCATTTCAAGCCTAGTGAGAATGTATTTCACAAGACCTTGATATTTTTTCCCTGCAGTAGAGAGGTGGAAGATTGGAGTTTTACTCTATTCTGAGAAAGCAAATATGACCCTTGGCAGGAGGACAAGGTTGATTGTGTTGGGATTCCTCTGCATTCCCACTATTTGGGCAAAACAGTTCTGGGAATCAAATGGGGGCCACTTAAGAAAGAAAGCTAGGGTAGGCTCATTCTGGACCTTATCTAATGAAGCCACTGAGAGGGGTGGAAGGATCCCAGTAACAGGAAGATACAGATAACCACTGAATTCCTAGGGGCCAGAAGAAGGAATTACCAACTTAAATAGAAATGTGTCAATCTAGGTCATTCAGATCGCAGAAGAGGGATTCTCAGTAAGACTCAGAGAGTAGGAGGCCATTCCACTAAGGAAAAAAATTACCTATTTCCTTAACCTCCATTTCCCTGTTTCTGCTTCTATACTCTTGAAAATACACATAGGAGCTGGCAAGTGTGACATAAAAATGAAAACCTATCACTCCTTCTCCACAATCTATAGGCCTTAGCATAAGGAAGGAGAGGGGACTTATTTTTGAGTGAAGACTAAAAAGTTTGATTGATTTCTTCGACTAAATACCTACTGATTACTGAATCAATATTTTTTTTATCACTTAGAGTGACCTTAGAATGGTTTATTCAGAAAGACATGAATAGAAATTTCTGTGACATGAACAAGTTTTTATCATGGGTCAGGGAAAGCTTACCCAAGTGGAGAACATTTTATTTGGACATTGGCAGACAATAATAAATTATACTTAAAAAAATACTGATTGTACTTACTAATTCATTCTTTCATTAAACAAGCATCAGAGTGTATATTATGTGCCAGCCATTGTGCTAGTGAGAAGCACAGACCTGGTTAATAACATACAGTGAAATGAAAGGCGTTTTCGCTCTCAATTTGCTTATGGTCTATGGCAGGGATCATCAAACATTTTTCTGTAAAGAGCCAGATAGTGGAGCTGGGGCTATGGCTCAGTGGTAGAGCACTTGCCTTGCACATTTGGGGCTCTGGGTTTGATCCTTAGCACCACATAAAAATAAAAGTAAATAAGATAAAAGTATTGTGTCCACCTACAACTAAAAAAGAAAAAAGGATAGTAAATATTTTGAGATATGTGGGACACATATGAACTATATATTCTTCTTTTAAAAACTAACCCTTTAAAATGTAAAAAAAAAGTAATTTTATCTTGAGAGTGGTATAATCAGAGGTCGGATTTTGCCAGTGGGTCCTAGTTTGCTGATTCGTAAATTATGGAAGAAACACAATTTTAAAAACCACCAGTTACCATATATTTACTATGATTAAAGATATATTTGGGGAGGATACACAAAAGAGCATTATCTGACTAGGAAAACAAGGCTTCTAGGAAGATGCTATGTGGATTTGAGACCTGAGGGATAAGTAGGAGTTAAGCATTAAAGGAAGTGGGTGGTATTCAAGGCAGAGGGAGTGGCCTAAACAGAGACACCACAGCTTGAGATAACTTGGTTCACTTTGGAAACTATAGAAGGAAGAAACCAAACCTTAGAGAGGTTATTTAGTTTGTTCAAGGTCATACAGCTAGAAAACTGTGGAACATAGACTCTTAATCCAGGTGTATGTGACTCCCAAACCACTAGAACATATTCTTGTCCTAGCATTAAAGCTATGTCTAAGATTCATTGCTAGTATTAGCAAATCAGCAACTGTTTGGTTCACTTTTGATTTCCTTGGGGGGTGAAATTTCTAAAAGGACTTGTGGAATTTAAAAGTAAGACCATGAACCCATAATTTTGGGTTGGATTAGTTAGATCTCTAGTTCTTCCTTTTAAAAACAGCCCTTTCCCCCCAATAAAACTTAACACAAATTGCTTGAATTCAAGGATATTGTTTATTTCTTCTTTGTACACGTTTTTTTCCCTTTGTTTTTCGGATAGCTAAGGTCTAGCACCACTATATTGTAATTTCTTACATTGTTATTGATTTAGATACTTAGAAGGTATGGCAACTTCTGGCTTGGACTACATATGATGATTGGTCCAAATACTGTCTTCATCTTATCAATCACATTGATAAACTTAGGCAAGTGAGTTTACTCAGCAAACATTAAATCTGTCGATTTTATAATTGATTGCTTATTGGGTTTTCATTGAGGTAGCATTAAATTAGCCATGTAACAACTACTCTATAAAAACATTCACTTTAATGTCTGCCATGTACTCATGGAGTCAGCAAGAAAAGAGGTTGAAATGAGGAAGAGGGAATGGCCTTCCACTGGTTATTAACCAGGTCTGTGCTTCTCACTAAGGAAATTCTTTCAAAAATGAAAAGAGGCTG